CGCGGTGACCCCTTGCTGTCCCTGCGCCCCAGCCCTGTTGTGCCCTGGAAGAGAAAGGGACGGGGTGGCCCAGCAGAGCATCAGGGTGAAGGGTCCTGGTGGAATTAGCGCGTGGGAGGGGGTTCGCAAAATCCCACCGGTTTGTCCCAGCCAGCAGCACATCAACTCTACGGGATGGCCCAACATATAGGGTCTGTCTGGGGTCCCAGGGCCCTGGGGTCTCGTGCTCCCTGATGCTCCTCCAAAGAGCATCTCTGCCCACATCCCCACTGCGGCCGAGTTTGGCGCTGGCCTTTCCCAGCGGCCAACCCGGCCCACCGAGTCCAGCCAGCCCCAGCGAGGTGTGCCAGACCGCTGGGGCCGGGGCCCCTCTGCTCCCTGCAGGCCTCAAGCACCGGCGTGAGGTGGCAGGGAAGAGTGCCATATTCAGCGGGGAGCACTTCGTCCTGGAGGAGACCGACTGGTACCTGCTCAACCTCTTCCGGCTCTGGTGGCACTATGGCATCAGCTTCCTGCGCCTGCAGATGTGGGTGGAGGAGGTGATGGAGAAGTTCATGAGGTAGGAGAGCCCATGGGGCTGGGGGGACACAGGAGGTCTCCCTCAACACCAGGGCATCACCAGGCACCCTGTGCTTCTGTCCCCTCCAGGATCTACAAGTACCAGGCACACGGCTATGCCTTCTCCAGCCTGGAGGAGCTGCTGCGCTCGCTGGGGGGTGACACCTTTGTCAACATGACGCAGCGCTCGGTGGCCGAGTCCTTGCTGGAGGTGGGCGTCACGCAGCGCTTCGTGGATGATGTCATCGCGGCTGTCCTGCGCTCCAGCTATGGGCAGTCGGTGCTGGTGCCCGCCTTCGCAGGTGAAACCGGGGACCCCCTCTCTTCCCCGTGTGATTCTCCTTCCCAGCGTCCCCTCTGTGGGCAGGCTGTTGAGCCACCCTCCTCTTCCTCTTCCCAGGAGCCATGTTGCTGGCAGGGGCCCAGGGTAGCACCTGGGCGGTGGAAGGAGGCAACAAGCTGGTGTGTTCAGGCCTGCTGAAGCTGACCAAAGCCAACGTCATCCCGGCCAGGGTGACGGGCATCTCTCTGCACAGCTCGGGTGAGCCTGGGCACAGGGTCCGCTCTGGGTGCCACCACCCTGGGCGTGGGTCTGGGGGCACTGGGGTGGGAGGTTGGCGGTGGCAGCATGGGCATGCTGGGGCAGAGAGAGGGTGCTGGGAGGCTGGAGGGTATCCTGGTCCTGGTAAAGCATTTGGGTGAGGGCCTGGGGGTCTGTCCATCTCCTACCCTTGTCCGATCCAGTGGGGGCCCTGCAGTACAGACCTCGGCCCTGAGGTTCCCCTCTCTCCCTCCTGAGGTCCCTCAGGTCTCTTCTGTGGCACCGTCCTTGTTGCAGGCTCGCTTGCTCCCCACCCAGCACAGCAGAAGGGCTGGATAGCTGGGGTTTCGGGGGTGGGCTGTGCTGTCCCAGTCCTTCTTGCCCCACTAGGCTGGGCTTTTCTGGAAACTTTCTCCCACAGGCTTGATAAAATCTTCTTTCCGCTGCCATAAAGCATCAGCAACTCATCCATAACCATCAGACGCTATGATCCAGCACTGGTGTGCACTGGAAAACCAGGGGATGGAGAGCATACTAGAAAAAAGGGGGCCAGGGCAATACCATCTGGGGCTCAGGGCTACTCCTAACTGTCCACCATCTCTTTTCAGAGGGGAGAGCCCTGTACCAGGTGCACTACGAGGGCAGTGAAGGCCAGGGCTCAGCTTTCTATGACATGGTGGTTGTGACAACTCCCCTGCACCCCAGCAGGAGCAATTTCACCTTTGAGAACTTCGAGCCGCCCATCCCCAACTTCCCCGGAGCCTTCCAGCCCTCCGTCACCTCCGTGGTGCACGGCTACCTCAATTCCTCCTACTTCGGCTTCCCCGACCCCAAGCTCTTCCCCTTTGCCAGCATCCTCACCACCGACACCCCCGACCTCTTCTTCAACGCCATGGACAACATCTGTCCTGTCAACATCTCAGCAGCTTTCCGTCGCAAGCAGCCCCAGGAGGCCGCGGTGTGGCGTGTCCTCTCCCAGCAGCCACTGGACAAGCAGCAGCTGAAGACCCTCTTCAGGTCCTACTACTCGGTGCAGGTGACAGAGTGGCAGGCATATCCCCGCTACGATGCTGCCAAGTCCCTCCCACCCATCGTGCTCCACGAAAACCTCTTCTACCTCAGCGGTGTGGAGTGGGTGGCCAGTTCCATGGAGATGATAGCGGTGGCGGCCAAAAACGTGGCCCTGCTGGCTTACAACCGCTGGCATCAGGACCTGGAGAAAATTGACCAGAAGGACTTGATGCACAAGGTGAAGACCGAGCTGTGACACCCAGGGGAGGCGGTGGGCTGGGAGCTTCTGTGTGTAGTAGCCTGGGGAGTATTTATTGCCTTGGGGACACCAGGGAGTTTGGGGCTGGGGGAGAGGGGACGGGCTGTGTCCCGGATGACTTGAACGTGCTTTGCCTTCAGGAATACAGTCCCTGCCCAGTGTTGCTGCGTGTCTTTGCCATGTGCCCCAGTTTCCCTGTTCCCCTTCCCCAGGCTCTGCTGGAAGGAGCCCGTGCCTTTTCTTATGAAAAAAGATGGCCACGCATCGATTTTTTGGAGGGACCTAGGGGGACTTTCAAGGACGAGGCTGGCTGGCATCGGCAGCAGATGGGTGCTGGCCCTGGGCAGGAACAGGGTCCTGCCCCCCGGCGAGCTGCCTGCCTCCCGCTGTGCCTCTCCCACCTTCCTGGCTTTGCCCCTGGGAAACTCGGTGGCAGGGCTGGCCCTGGCTGGGGCAGGAGGTCCTGTGGTCTGTCCCGTGCCGCGTGCGCGTGGAGCCTAGCCCTGCTCACCGGCCTGGCACCCCGGGGATGGGCATGCGTGGTGGGCTGTTGCAGGTCCTGGCTTGCAAGGAGAGGTGCCTGCTGCTGGGTGCTCCCTGTTTCCAGGGGTGTCCAGGTTTCCCCGAGCCTGGGGCTCAGCTGTGTTTTGGGGGGCAGAAGAGCCTCCCTGGGAGAAGGCTGGGCAGCACCCACCCCCGGGCGGGCAGGGGCAGAGGGGCAGTGTGACAGGCCGAGGCAGGGGGCAGCTCAGACGGGGGCCAGCGATGCACTTTATTGAGGACCTCAGAAGCCACCCGAACAACCCTACAGTTGCCCCGCTCCCTGTGCTGCCTGACCCAGCACAGAGGAGCTTGGGGGAGGGCTGGGGAGGACCGGGCGCTCCCAGAGCTGTTGCACTGGTGGAGCGAACGAAGGCAAATGTCGATTTTGGGGAGGGAGGAGGCCTGATCCTGCCCAGCTGGAAGGACTGAGGGGCAGCTGCCTCCCTCGTTCCCCCAGCCCGCTCTGCTGAGCTACTCCCTGGAGGGGAGGGGGGTCGGGGCGGGGT